TTTACCCTTTTTTTCCTTTTTTGTGAAAAAAAAAAAAAAAAAAAAAAGTCATTCGTAAAAGGCGGTAACTAAACAACCTGCATTTCTCAATAAAACAATGGCAATTGTTGGACTCCATAGAGAGGACATTTATAAAACATGGCCAGGCTGAAAACTAGGCAGATTAATACAAATACAAAGCCCTACTAACAATCGAATACCTTATTTACGAGGCCCATCACTATGGTTAATGGGGAAAGCTTGCAATCCCAAAATATTTTGGTTAGAATAGTGTTGCTTACATTTACTTTCCTGTAAAGCCATTGAGATGTGTGACATAATCACCAGTGTTATACCCGGATATAAAAAGCATGGCCACACAAACAGCACTAAGAGCCCAATATACCGTGTTTCCCCGAAAGTAAGACCTACCCTAGTTCGGGGTAGGTCTTATATTACAGACATCCCTGAAGATAACGCTAGGTCTTACTTTCGGGGTAGCTGCACATGTAACTAGATTTTACATGTGAAGACCGGCCGCAGCTCCCTCCCGCCCCCCTGCCAGACACGCCCCCCCACCTGTGTTTCTCCTTGTAATGATCAGAGCGGAGAGGCAGCTCCCTCCCGCCCCCCTGCCAGACACGCCCCCCCGCCCGCACACATGCCCGCCCACCTGTTTGTGGCTCCCTGGACTACAGAGCGGACAGCAGCAGCCAGGTAAGACATCCCCCGAAAATAAGACCTAGTGTCTTTTTTCGTGAAAATAAATAAATAAGACACTGTCTTATTTTCGGGGAAACACGGTACTAGGCATGCAATATCAGTAGATACAGATGTCTGTGTACCGTCTCAGAGCCAGTGGGGTAACGCTAACTTTCTCGATGCATTCTGTGGTGAATCAAATATGGCAGCACATACAAAGATGCAGTGTAAACAAACAAGACTGACCTAACTTATTATGACTGCATTATTTTTTATTGTGATCATACTGAGGTACTCTATAACGTAGTCCCAGATCTGAAGAAATCAATGCCCCATCCTGAATACCGTGTTTACTCACAAGCTGTTCATACGCCGCCGCTCGGTTCTGGTAGAAGGTAGACAAATCCACTTTCTTCTCCGATGGACAAAGACTGATGGCTTCAGTGTAACACTGGATGGCTTGTTCGTATTTGCCAGCTTTAAAATACTTGTTACCCTTGTTCTTTGCGGCTTGTGCTTTTTCCAGAGGGCTCTAGAAAAAGAAAAAAAAAAGAAAAAAGGTGAGTAATGCACGAGCTAATAACGTTCATCAGGTCACTCACTGCATCTGTGGGGACAGTATCCTTGGCAGGGCAGTATGCAGAGAATTAAAAAGAAGACACTAGCTGCAGTAGTTTCACTAGCAACCAATCATGCATCTCCGACCCCATTAAGGTGCCAGTGTTCTGTCAGACCAGCCAATGTTGTCACTTACAGGGAAGCGTGATCAGCTGTTTCAGAGGAAAGTGGCTTACTGCATTGCACCGCATTCCAATAGGCCGACGTCACAGCAAACATTGCTGTCAGATTTCTCCATAGTCTTTACAGCACATGTGCGGGTATAGCGGTCGGATTTTTACTACCACAGGCCCAGTAACCGTGGTAGTAAAATCCGATCGTTATTGTGCTGTAAACACTATGAAAAAATGTGTCGGCTAGCATTGTTAGCTGTGATGTTGGCCAATGAGAATGCAATACGTATGTGCAGTAAGCTGCTTTCCATTGAGACACCTGATCACGCGTCACCGGAAGGGACGACATTGGCTGATCTCACACACCACCGGTCGGGAGATTCCCCAGCCAGCAACTGAATGTAAATAAAGGGGTTGGAGATGCTGGGTGATATCAGCAGAGTGGACCTGATGAGGAACTAGTATCTCAGCATCCCGATCAGGCTTCCCCAGCCAAGTCCTTGGCCGCTGTTCCTGTTTGTATGACAGAAGCAGAGGTCGGACAGGGAGCTCAGTAACACTTTACAAAGCTGCACTGAAGACAGTGTCCGGGTATGGACAAGTATGAAGCATGAATCTGGTGAAAGCACCGACTAAATTCTATAGTGTCTTAGATGCGCTTTATAAATTCCCCCCATTAACAGGAATAATCCAACATGTGAGGAGATTCAACCTGAATGGAAAAGTGGCTAAAGAGAGCTTTCATAAAACTTAGTTTGCTGTTGAACTTATAACGTCTTGGACATTGAGACCTTCATGTAAAAGTGGTTCACCAGCTCATAGTTGTTAGCAATACTGTAAAGCTTACGCACTAGACAGTACAACTTGAGATGCCAGAACAGATGAGAATACACATTTACAATAGCATAAAAAAATCAATAGTTCAAACATAGCTGGTCAGACACTAGAGGGCTGAGCTCCTCGAGCCATCTTTCCTGGTCAATGCTTCCCCAAACATGAAGGTTGTGATGAGTGACCGTTCATGCCATGTCTGGCCCTATGGAGGGAGCTGAGAATGGCACGCTGCCGACTTCCAGCTGAGGGAGAAAATAAAACTGTCTGGATAAGGATTTCTAATCCATCCAAGCATTACTGTACTAGATGATCCTCACCTGTCAGTGGCTGCAGGTGGTCCAGAGACATCAGAACGCCGCACAATATGGCCAAATGGTGAAACTTCATTCTAAACATTCCCTTTTAGCTGGGCACACATGCCAAGAACTCGAATAATAAAAGGCACAGCATGGATGATTGAAAGTTACACCTACCCTGTAGGCATTGTTACTTTAAATGGAACATGACTCAGGAAAGACTGACAACACAGCAGTTACTAATCGGCTAAACAATATGTTATCACCGAAATAATGTTCAGATTTGTATCCATAAAGCGATGCTTAATTCAATGGAAAATCATCTGCTTCAATAATCCTCGGCAGTTTCCAGGCACAGAGCTGGGCTGAGAGCTCTATGCAGGCACAATAAAAACTGAACCTATGGAGGACAGGAATATGGAGCTGCTGAATCGTTTATAGACTGTGCATGATCCAAATCCATCACCGTGATCCTGGACACACTATCTGAATATCCACTGACGAGTGAAGAAAGGATCAGGATGACAGCTCTAAAGCCTGCAACTTTTAAAAACAAAGCGGTAGTGATGGCTTCCACACTCCCCTTCTATTATTATTGGTTCACTTTAAATAGAAGGCAAATGCTGCAAAGGACACCATCCATACTTCATCCAGCAGCCTTACGTCATGTTATTGGAGCCTGGTGTTTGGAAAGTGATCCTAACTCACCGGACAACTCTACGAATAGTGAACTTGATTTTTCAAGTAGCAAAATCCCATTATTTCCTATGGGTCTGGTTCACATTTAGGTCTCATTCACACAGCCTAAACTCGAGCCGTGCACGACCCCCGTATCGGGCTGTTCCCATGAGGGACAGGTGCTGCGTGAAGCAGCCTGTTGTTACCTATGGGAAGACTTGTCCATGCGCACACCCGAACTGCACATCTATGCGGGTCCGGGTGCCCTTAGATAGGATGGATCCCGTCTGCGTCTGAGCATGGACACCCGCAGGGATGTGCAGTTCGGGTGTGCGTATGATGGCGTACAGGCGTGTCCTCCCATAGGGCAGATCAGGCTGCTAGACGCAGCACCTGTCCCTCCCGGGGTACAGCCCGATACCGGCGTGCACCTGACACAGCCTGAGTTTAACTGTGTGAATGAGGCCTTATGTGCTGCAGTTTTTGTGTAAATGGGAAACGTTATGCATCTATTCCCACCTATGAGTGTGCATTACGAGGCATGCTGCATCACACACAGAAAAGTGTACATAAAGCCTATTCTCATTTTGTAGCGCATTTCCCGAAGCCCAACATCGCTCAATATGAAGGTTCCATTATTACAGTGCTTGTTCACAACTGACTGATGTTTCGCTTGTTGCCAGAAAGAGTACATGAGCTTTTATCTGGAAGAATTGCACGCTTTTGTCCCATTAGAATTCAATGAAAGTGCCTGAAAAATGTGTGTAATGCAAATGTTTTATGTGTTTTTGCACCTAAAACAAAAATGGTCAAGCCTAAAAACAAGCAAATAAAAGTGCAAAAAGAACGCTTCAAATTCCCTTGAAAATGCGCAGGCTAAAGTGTAAATGGGGGCTCAGCTCTTCATTGTGTGCCCAACAATGCACAACCTTTTCCCAAAAACAGACCCGGCTTCCATTAAAGGCAATTCCCCCCCCCCACCCCCAATGTTAGTGTAGGGACTTACCTTAAATCATGCATTTTAATCCGATCCTGTTTTTCATTTGTGCCTTTTCATGCTGTCCCTCCAACGATGGAGCGGGTCTCAGATCCAGCGCTGACTCCTCTGATGTCCCACGGAGTCTGTGCGGGTGCACACTGCTCCATAGACTTACCTTGCGTCTCTCCTTGTCTCCCGGCCGAACACGCATGAAGTACGCAAGCGCAAACCCTAAGATCATTTGCGGCCGCCCGAGACTATTCAGATGTTCCGACGGGAGCACGCGGCGAAGACACAAGTTTAAACCTGTTTCAAAAGGTTTAAAGAAAAAAAAAAAGTTTTTGCATATATCTACTGCTTGCTAGCCATAGATATATGCAAGAACACCTGAGGGTTTAACCACTTGCCGTCCGCCCGTTGTAAAAAAACGGACGGATGGCAACTGCTGCATTGGCGGGTTGCCGTCGCCAGACGGCATTTTTTTTCTGCTCGCGCAAAGCAATGTTACCAGTTCAGATGTAAATACAGCTTAGCAGAACTGATGAAGCAGGCCATTGAAGTGCAGAATGGAGAAGGTTGCAGTGAATTCTACCGCCCTCGTACAGAGCGTTCTGCAGCATCACTGAAGCCAAGATTACACAGCAGACATCAATCTGCAGAATGACATACCAGACAATGAAAGGAGAAATGTTTATTGGGCTTTATATCTCCAGAATCGATATGGGAGCCTCATTTATTTTGTGCCCCCTGACCTCTGCTCCGGCAGCTTCCACCTGTAAAGCATATCCTGTCACTTCTCATCACACTGTCCCTCTTCTTCAGTCAAGCATTTAATGAGTACCTTTCACCCGCATACAATAAAGAGAACCACTCTGTGGGCTGGTCAATACTTCAGTGACTGCAGCCTGTCAGTGCCAGCAAAGCATTGTGAGAGGACATTCTCCATGAGTGGTGTATAACAGAGAGGCCAAACCCTTCCCTCTGCTGGGAATATGCTGCTTGCTGCTCCTTCAGCTTAGATCCATGGGCCTAAGCATTTCATCACTCCACTAGAGGAGGATTAGCTTATCTTAAAAGTAGTATTAAACTCTCAAACAATTCAATAAAGAATCCATATCAAACAAATATACATCGCCCAGTAAAGTATTCCTTTACATTTTTGCCCAAACACTTAGTCATCATGTTTCCAAACAGCTCCAACTCTCTCAGCTTGGCTTCTCTCAACTTCGTGTCCAGTACAAGATCACAAGAAACAGCAGTCTCCAGCAGCATCTGGTTACCTTGGAGAAGAGAGAAGGGCAGTATCTTGCCTTGCTATGCGTTTGTGGAGACACACACAGCTTACTAACACACACGAGGGTGTCTACATAGGACCCGCAAGGGATACGAGTCACCCTTAAAAAAGGACACCAGGACCAGTGCTCAGGCAAGCAGCTAATTCTGCAGGAAACCAAAACTTTTAAACATCAAGGAGCAGCATTTATTGTAAGCGATTTCATCAGCATTTGAAATAGCTCTGACTCTGATCCTCTCTGGGACCACAACGCACTGCCTCGCATTGCTGCCGGCTCCCTTTTTGCCGGGCTGGAGGGGGCGTGGTGGGCCATTGAAGTGAATGGCACCGTAGCTATGCCCTCCGGCCGCAATCGATCGCAAGTCACATTGTGCCTGCGGGCCAGTGCGATCAAAATAGTGCTTGCAGCGCCTATCAGGCTCCACTTTTTTTTTATTTTTATGACTGCCAGTACATGAGCTTCTTTTTTGGCAGATTGGCACGATTAGGAATAGGAAAAGGGTCACATTGCGCTGATCTCCCTAAAAAGAAGCGCATACTTACAGGCTTGTGCGGAGCCTTTCCACGCTGACAAATACGAGCTACAAATGCCGGTGGTGTGGACAGGGACTTAGATTGCACACAGGTGGTCTTTATTTAAAGGACATTTCCACCTCTGCGGGGCATTGTTAAAAAAAAACATATGCCAGCAATGTACACGGTATGTAGATGATGGCGGCA